CACATAGTCTACAGGCACACACCTGATCATCTACAATTGCTCTCTTACAACACTAAACTATGTTTTCTACCTTTATCTTGCATCTACCTACCACTTCAGCAGTTTATTAAAAATAAAAATAATAATAAAGGGAGAAATGTGGGATCCACATATAAATCAAGTATAAAAATCAAACGAATATTCATATTTGACCTGATTGTTTATAGTTCATAATGCGTGACCAAAACCAAAAGTTTCTGTGATGAATGCCCTATGCCCTTGTACTGTTCACCATGTAAGAACTTGTTCATTATGCTTCAGAAGATTGGAGACTGAAGTGAACTAGGCTTGAGATGGATTAATGACTGTGCATTGAGCATTGACCCCCCTATACAGAATTTTATTGTTGTTAACAACTATGTGATCAATAAATATGAGAGATGCCCTCTCAAAAAAAAAAAAGTACTGAAGGTGAAGGGTACACATGGTGAAGATGTCAAGGTTTACAACGGGGCACCATTCCGGGTAACACCACCATAGGGAAAGTTGAAAAGAAGATCAGAAACAGAAAGGCCATGGGGTTGAGAGGGGGGTGGAACCCAAACCGCAAAGTAATGTGAAGGTAGAAACCCAAGTGAGTGTAGTTGGCTAGATGGCCCAGCAAGGCGTCTTGAGGGCCTCAACTTGCAAGACAGAAGGGCTCTGCAAGGCGGCCTCAGCACGTTGCAAGGCCTGTGTGCCACGCCGTCATCTCCGGCTGAGTGTCCAGTCAGTTGAGAACCCCACCGGTCTCCCCTTCTCCACATCTCCAGCATCCACTGCTTTGTCCTCAGGCTCCTCATTATGCCTCAAGCCTAGATTAATGCAAACTGACCCCAGCTGGCCTGCGTGGTGCTACATTTTCCCTCAATAGTCCTCCCACTCTGCAGTTTTCAAACTAATCTTTATTAAGCCCCGTTTATCCCATATCTTGCTAATAAAGAAAAGAAATAGGCTCTTTGGTGAGTAGAAATGTCACCAAGGCTATCTAATAATCCCAGCACCTTTTATCCTGGTATTTTCTCGAATAAATTGTTTATATCCCTTGTTCTAAAGTCTATTGCCAGCTAGGATTTATTGGATTTAATAACGGTATGTCTTGGGGTTGGGCTCATCTCAGTTGAATCTGTAATAACTGTTCCTCACTACAAAAAGTTATGCTGCTTTGTCTTATACAGTTGAAGGAGATGCTGTATTTTTCTCAGTACTTAAAAGAAATATCCAAATTAACAGTTTTCTTTAAATTTTCTTACAAGTATCAAATGGTGTCTTCAATTTTAGTTCCCCTGAAAGTACATTTTTGAAGTACAGATTTTTATTTTTTCCCTTTTTAAATTTCTCCTTTTTTCTCTTGTATACTTCATCTCCCTAGAAAAAAATCACTCAATGATCCCTTCCTGGTATTAAACACTTTTATGATCCTTTTGTCTGAAACATATTATGCAGTTTCCCTACGCTTTATCCTATAGGGCTGATCACAGTGTCCAAGCAGAATTAGTCGTCTATATGAAGGTCATTTCTTCCTTTGTGTGAAGTTTTTCTGGGGCTTCCAGAACAATGCATGAGCACTGGCCTCACTCCAATGATACGGCTGTGATATTTGTGTTGGTGTAGCAGTTTCCATACTCCGTTCCTGACACCAGCAACCCTTTATCAAGATACACTTATACATGTACAGCCAAGCCCCTTCTTTTCTTGCCTCTTGCCTCTCTTTACTCTAATTCATGCAAAACAATGAGCTAAAACATTTCCAGGTGTTGGAAATAATAGGGGAGTAGGTTAATTCTACATAAAGTCCAGGAAGTCATAACTCCTTGAATCCTGCCCCTACTGGCCACACCTCCCAGTAAAGTTCCAGGGAAAATATATGTTCAGAGGACAAAGCAAGTCAGCAGACACCACACTCCCATGCTTGCTACCCTTTGAGCCTTACCACTCTGTAGGTAGTGAACTAATGTGTGGTCCTCCCATGAAGCTGCACCAAAGATCGTCAGCATGTCTACCCATTCTTGTGGGTTAAGTGAGGAGCAGGGGATGAAGCAATTTTGGTCTAGACAAGGGCTTCCTTTCACTTGGGAGCAAAGAGCGGGGAGATATAGCCCCCACGTCCACCCCACCATGAAGGAAAGGGGCTGGTATATGAGGCTCAGGATATGGATTCAGGCATGCCTGTGTTTGGGGAGTGGTGTGGAGATGTGCATTGCCTTATGAACATGCACCAACACAGATCAATAGACACAAGAGATAATCAGAACAACCCCATGCTCGTTTCAGGTAGAAAACTCGGATACACCTTCAACAACCGGAACTTCCACAACGTGTCTCTGGGGCAAGGACAGGAGGCAGTGGCTGAGGCTGCCCTGGACCTGGCCGCCAGGAAGGGTCACTGGGTGATTTTGCAGGTATGCTCCCTCTGCCCTGGTGGGGGTCATACTTGACCCTAGAACCCTCTGGACTTCACATCACAATCTCTGGGCTCCTCTGGGCTCCTTTCCCCACTCATCTACCTTTCCCTCTACACCCCCACCCCTTCTGCTTGCTGGTTTCTCTTTCCATTTGTCCTCCTTCCTGTGACGTCTTCCTCACCCCACCTCCTGATAACTCCTCATTGCCCCCACCCCACACAGGCTTCCACCCCACTCTCATTTACATGGAAGCTGATGCCTGTTTCGATACATGCTCAGGAAGCTGGCGTGCAGTTAAAGACCAGGGAAGCCAATTCTTTTTTCAGCTGTTGATGTCTTCCCATGCATTTCAGGAAATTGTCCTCTACTGTACCTTTCTATTGTGTTACACATTATATGTCCTTCATTACCTGTGCAACCAGAACATCACACTTCTAACTAGAAATTAGCCTCTTCACTGACAGTTCATGTTGGTGCATGGAAATCTGGCCATTTCACTGACTGCGTATAGGAAATAAAGGCTACCTACCCCCTTTTCTATCATGGCCTGTCCCTTATTCCTGATCTATGCTGCATGGTTACTGTGGCTGTGGTAGAAGTGGCTTACTTCTGTTTTCCTCCATAACACCCTACAAACCTCTATTCAAGTGCCTGTGGCTATGTTGAAATGATTTAGTAAATATACGAGTATGTCCTTGCCTACATGTTCTTAGGGAGAGCTATGTTTCTGAATCACCTTTTAGCACCCAGCACACTACCAGGAACAATAGTAAGCATTCAACAAAAGCCTGTTGGGAAAAATAATCATTGAAGAAATCAATGAAACAAAAAATAAATGAAAAAAAGGAAAACAAAGTTACTCCATCCTCTCCTGGCTTTAGTTACCAGAAACTTCCTCTGGCCCCTGACCCGTTACGGCATCACATCTTGCTGCGGGGTTTCCATCCGAATTAGCCTATTATTTATTTGAAGCCTAGCAACTGAGGGATCTGCCATTCCCTGGGACTCTTTTACCAGCATCAGTGAGGATATCAGGTGAAAAGATGACAACAGCTGGGGTCCTGCGCCCTCCCATGTGATCAGCATGGTGCTGGGCAAGTGTGTCCCCCGCAACCATCTCAGGATCACTTGCCAGAGAACCCCCTTCTGGGCCCTGGCACCTTTGGGAACCCAGCCATTCAGACAATGAACAGAGTGTCTCTCCCTCCAGCACATACCGGCAGCCCAGGGCTCCCACATGCACACTGATGTGGTTTCCTGAGAGCTCTCCAAGATCAAATCCAGAAACTGAATTCCTGAGGAAACAGAGCACTTATCTGTGGGTCTCCAGCCCTGCCTGGCTGACCGAGTCCTGGCCCTCCAGGCAGCCCACTAAAATCTCGACTCCAACAGAATGATTATAAATGAATTCTTTAACAAATTTTCATTTCAGTAACCACTACTAACTCAGAGCATTTTGCAGTATAGAAACCTTTCAAATACATTCCCTGTGGTTATTTGCAGCAACTCTGTGATATAAGTATGGCAAACATTATTGTTACTTCTCTTTTCATAGAAGAGAAAGCAGCAGTCAGAAACCAGATTGCTCGGCCCGAGTAGTGTGCTCTGGGCCAATGTGTGTATTTAAGGCTCTCTGAGTGGCTGTCCTCAAATATCTATCAAGGAGCTTTCATCTACCATCCTAATGAAACATACTGCAATGAAGGAAAGTGACTATCCTTACTGGCGTGAACGTGCATTCTGCAAAGTACTGCTGAGAAATAGATGGAGGTTCAGATAGACAGGCAGACAGCAGACAGGAACCAGATGGGGGCTGGAGGAGCATGGCTCTAAGAGCAGACAAAGGCGCTCGGGCTTGGAGTAGGGAGTCCTCCCCAAATGCACACAGCAACGTCTGTGTGTTTTGAGAAGATAAGTCTGGCAACGATTAGCAGAATGGTTTGGAGAGAAGGAGAGAGGAGTGGAGAGAGCTAGCTAGCAGAAGCTTAAGTCAGGGCTTTTCAAATTTTAAGATGCGTACAAATCACTTTAGGATATTCTTAAAATGCACTGTTTCAGTAAGTCTGGGGGACAAGGAGTCTACATTTCTAACTAGCTCCCAGGTAATGCCAAAGAGCAGGTCCATGGACCCCACTTTTGAGTATTAAGGGCTCAAATAAGCAGGTATCAGATATGGGAATCTGCACTTGGAATATAACTGTGTGTTAGACTCAAAGTGTGGCCACCAGACCAGCAGCATCAGCGTCACAGGGACCTTGCTGGAAATGCAGATCTCAGGCCCCACCTCAGACCTGCTGAATTACACACACTGGGGCGGGGCCTGAGAATCTGTTTTAACAAGCCCTTCAGGAGACTCGGATACATAGTCAAGTCTGAGAGCATGGTGTTAGATTTAGGACAGGGATGCGGTTCAACTGAAGGATACTAGATGGCCCCATGACTGAGAGCCCCAAGACTCATGCTGCCATGTGACTCACTTGACGCTAGGGCCAGGTCCCTCCTTGAGCTGCCTTCCCCAGACCATTCATTGTAAACAACAAGGCAGAGGCCTGCACTGAAGGGGGTCCTTCCTTCCCACCAGAACATCCACCTGGTGGCCAAGTGGCTCAGCACCCTGGAGAAGAAGCTGGAGGAGCACAGCAAGAACAGCCACCCAGACTTCAGGGTCTTCATCAGCGCGGAGCCTGCGCCCTCCCCTGAGGGTCACATCATCCCCCAGGGCATCCTGGAGAACTCCATTAAAATCACCAGTGAGCCTCCCACGGGCATGCATGCCAACCTGCACCAGGCCCTGGACAACTTCACCCAGGTGAGGCCCCGGGTGGGAGGGAAGAGGAGCGCCCGCCCGCAAAGACCAGATTCAGCCAGGTGGGAGACAAGCGTGCAGCAGGGAGCAGGGACAGAGCTACTGGGCTGTGGAGCAACTGGGCCCCTGCACAGCTGACTCCTCCCAGTGCCTGCTGAGTACAACCAGCTCTCAATTCCCAATATGCCTGGGGGTGCCAGGCTTAGGCCTTTCATTGGAAAAACTCTGGGGGAGCTTTCTGTAAGTCTGCATGTTAAGTTGCTATAAACCTAATTGACATGCTATGCCAGTCACACACTTACCACTAAGCATACTGCCTTCAAGAAGGAGGTTGATGCTCATGTTCTGGTGATAAGAACTGATATCTGCATCATCTTGAGTATCATTTTCCTAAACGGGCCCTGCCTAAACTCCTACATACTCCATACCAGGGGCCAGACTGCTAAATTTTCTAGATGTTATATTCCACATAAGGGAAATACACATTCTTAATTCAAACAGTCCAGGTGTCAGATAGTGGGGATCTAGACTTGGAATGTAACCATGTATCAGACTCTTACCGTCGATCCCAGACCAGCCTTATCACCGAAGAACTTGCTGGAAATGCAAACTCTCAGGCTGCACCCTAGACTTTCTGAATCAGAAACTGGGTGGGGCCCAGGAATCTGTGTCCTGACGAGTCCTCCAGGGACTCCCTTGCACAGTCAACTTTGCGAACGCTGTATTACAATGCAACGAAGCCTATCAAGGCATTAGCTTTGAAAACGGGCTGCTACTGACTGGAATTTCCATTACTGGGAATTCCAAGACTCATGCTGTGGAGTGTTCATTTAAAGCTGAGGACAGGTCCATGGCAGCCGGCTCCATGTATGAAGCTTGCCAGGTCAGTTTTCCTCTTCCCAGGAAGGCATCCTGTCTGGCTGCCCGTTCCTTGACGAGCTCCCCCTTCCTGGGAAGGCAGACACAAAAAGTGTGTTTACCAGGAGAGCAGGGGCCATGAGGGTTGCCTTAAAGTCCATCCACCTCACTGGGCCTTGGCTGGGTCCCAGAACAGGGTTCTGGGATCTGTCCTCTCTGATGGCATCTTACAATAGCGCCAGTGGGTCCCTGGCTTCATGGAGCCCATGCTACAACTCATCTAGGGGACTTGGAATAGGCCGCTCAGCAGGACAGCTGCCTAGCTAGTGCCACTTAACTGAAGCACCAGGACCAGTGGCCCTTTGGGGTCTGGTTTAGCTTAAAATGGGATGAAGGCCATTTGGCAGTTGGAGTCTTGGAAGATTTTACCAAGTGCATGATACGGATCATAATGTAGGAATCCAGCAGTCCAACATGGACAGGAAACCTTCCAAAAAAATTGAGAGGTTCACTCACCTTCCCAACCCACTCATCATTTGGAACAGAGAGTGAGGCAACATTACCCAGAGATTCAGGATATTTTAGTCTGACCTGTTTGTTAGAGATGCTTGCCCACTGCAACATGGAGCAGAAAGTAGAATGTTCTTCTGTCCAGGGGCATTTTCATTTCTTTTTTAAAATTTTTCCTAAACGGGCCTTGCCTAAAATCCTAGATACTCTATACCAGAGGTCAGAACTGCTAAATTTTCTAGATGTTATATTCCGCATAAAGGAAATACACATTCTTAACTTTGAAATCTATAGCCTTCTTTACAGAAGGTGTAGCTGGGTCCAAGAAGACATTTCTGTCCTGAAAGGCATTGGGCCGCATGACAATGTGAATACACATAATAGCACTACACTATATACACTTTAAATAGTGGAGAGGGTACATTTTATGTGATGCATATTTTATCACAAATTTTTTAAAAGTTGAAAAAAAAGGCATTGGAATGCAGTGAGCTGTACTGGAAAGCCAGCTGAAGGAAGCCCCCAGGCACAAGGACAAAGAGGCACACCTTCAAATGCTGAGACTGGTGACAGCAGCACAAAGTCAGAATAAAACAACCATTGCTAATCAGCAGGGCCCTTGGGGAAGTGGGAATAAAAGAGTTCAGCTCTGCATTTGTCCCTTAAATGGTTAAAATGGGGCTCAGGAGGAACAGGAGCTGCTGGCTTTTCCTAGTTCCCACTCTTGGGTTTATCTCCTGGCAAACCTGATGTTGTCTTGATGCTCAGGCAGCTGGGAAGACAGTCCAAGAGCTGCCGGCTTCTCCTGGTTCTTCTGTGCCTGCCACAGGTGGCTGTTTGGGCATCTATAGCCACCATCCGTAGCTCATTCGGAGAAAGGAGATGGACTTATGAGTGTATACATCCTTCTCAAGCATTTTAATTGTTCCATTCTGCTTTTCCACATGCCCTGGAGCAGAGGCCCTGGTGTGACACTCACGCTCCTCACTGTGTGCCTTCCAAGCCCCCTTTTAACCATTTAAGGGACAAATGCAGAACTGAGCTCTCTTTTTTCCTGCTTCCCTGACAGCTGTGCTGTCGGGGGTTGACTGTTTTATTCTGACTGAATGTGCCCCTGTCGGCCAGTTTCAGCATTTGTTCGCATGCCTTCTTGTCTGCGCTGAGAGGCATTTTTCAGCAGGATCTAGTTTCTTCAAATGTGTCAGAAGTAACAAAGCAGGCATCCTCCAGCTCTGGGGAACAGCTTGGTCCAGAAAGCAGTCCTAGGTCCTTCCTCGCACTGGACAGTGTCTTTGTCCTCTGCACCACTTCTGACCTTGCCTCTCCATGCCTCTGTGCCAAATATGGTACCAAAGGCACCAGGGTGACCCCCACATATCCAGAGAGAGGTGGACTGTCGTGGGCCCTCCACGGCCAAACCAGACCGACCAGGAGCTTAACCTGGTTTGTCTCCTCTGTTCCTCCTGCCCATGTGAGCAAAGTGCAAGGACCAGCTCCTGGTAGGAACGCAGGCCTGACCCTGATGAGCGTGCATGAGCTTTGGAGGTGCTTCTCTTGGGCTCCACCTGCAACATCTTGCTCCTTGCTGAACATACAGGGTCTCACTCAGAGGAAATTACTTTTAATTCCAAAGAATCTAGGGATTTTTGTCCTACCATCCCTTCAAAACACAGCTTCCCGCATCTCCACCTTCACCGCCATCCCTCTTAAGACCCACCAAGCACAGTTCTATTGCCTCCCTCCAGACTATCTCCTTCTTCTCTTCTCGATCCGTCCTGTCTTTCATCCCCTCTCCATGAGCCATGTCTTTTCTGCCAGTCTGCACCCTGCAGTCAGAACCCCTCTTGTTTCTGCAGCCGCATATCCGGCTTCCCCCTCAGGAGTAGTGGAGCGGTTAGGGAGGTGGAGGGCATGACACTCCTCTGTTCCTTGTGCTCTGACTCCCATCCTTGCCCCCCTTCAGCATCTGCTCAGCAGATGAGCTGGGCATTCCTGTCACGCAGGCTAATTACACCTCCTGAGGTCCCATGAGGGGCCAGACACCGTGGCAGGAAAGGAAGAAGTCAGAGAGGCCGCTGTGAGAGTCCTCACCCACACTCCGAGGCAAAATGACATCACTGTGAAGAACGCAGTGCTCCGGGGCCCACTGCCCTGTTTTCCATCAGCTATGCTTGGGAACTTCATTAGTATGTCCATATGTGCGAACCCTAACTGTAAACTGAACCCCACTGTAACCAGAATCTAAACCTTAGCTCAGATTCTAAACTAAAACCCAACGCCTTTGCAAGGTCCCCTGGAACCCCGAGCCTGTGCCTGTCTGCTATGCAAGCTGCAGTCCTACAGCAGCTCAGAGCTAAGGAGGATACACGGTAGCTTAATCCAACGCAAGCCCCAGCCACCGTAGCCACACCGCGGCTTGCCCTGAGTAATGGCATGTCTGTGTCACCACTGGGGGCAACACTTGCCTTTCAGGACACCCTGGAGATGTGTTCCCGGGAGACTGAGTTTAAGAGCATCCTCTTTGCTCTCTGTTACTTTCATGGGGTGGTGGCCAAAAGACGAAAGTTTGGGCCCCAGGGATGGAATCGCTCCTACCCCTTCAACACCGGGAACCTCACCATCTCTGTGAATGTGCTCTACAACTTCCTGGAGGCCAACGCAAAGGTGAGGTTTCCAGCCAGCACAGGGGGCAGGGGTTAAGTGGGAAGGGCCACTCCTGAGGAGGAGGGTGCAGCATCCACACAGGGAAGAAGGGGCATGTGTGCTGGGGAAAGTCTGAACCCTTCCCAAGTGGTGTGAGGAAGTGCGAGTTTAACCCCGTGGCTGATCTGGAGTGACTGGAGGGAGGCCGAGAAGAGTGCCCTACAAAGGTTAGGGCCAAGAGAGCCCAGGAAACCAGACTAGTGACTCACACCCAGTGGGTGTCGGTCCCATGAGTGCCCATCCCAAGGCCACCAGCCCAGGGCATACACAGCCTTGCAGGGCTTGTGGATTGTCAGGAGGAGACCCCCACTCACTTCCACACTGCCACCCCCCACACTGCCATCCCTTCCTTTGCTCCACGGAGGCCAGGCTTCCCCAAGTGGTTTTCCTCCTAACTTTGACATCACTCAACTCATGTACTCTATTCCATTCACTATGAACTTTCAAAGGAGACAATTAACTATTAGCTAATTAATGGCAGGAAATTAGGAAGGTGCCCCATTCCTTGCTTCTTTCATTTGCCATTTGCCTATTTAAAAGACTCAGGTAGAGCCCGGATTCATGGCCACAGTTAATAACCACCAGAGAGGAAAGGCCTTTATGCGAGGGGGCTGGCATATACCTTCCCCCCCACACCCTGTGATGCAATTCTTCAAACATTGAACAGGCCCCCAAACATGCCTGACTTTGCTGGGCACTTGGGGTGCGCATGGGAGTAAAACCTTGCTCCTAGTCTTGAGAGGCATGCCATCCGCGGCTTACACTGCCTGTGCATCAGGACAGCTGCGATGCCCATGTGGAGGTCTCCCTTTCTTTCCCCCTCTCTCAGGTCCCCTATGACGACTTGCACTACCTCTTTGGAGAGATCATGTATGGAGGCCATATCACAGATGACTGGGACAGGAGACTCTGCAGGACCTATCTGGAGGAATTCATCAAACCAGAAATGCTACTAGGAGAGCTGTGTCTGGCCCCAGGGTTCCTGGTCCCAGGAAACATGGACTACAATGGCTACCATCAGGTGAGGCTCTGCTCTTTCCTGCCAAAGGCACTGATGGCGCTCACACAGGGTCTACTCTTCCCTCGCTGCAGCCCCACAGGACCTGGGGCACTCAGAGCCGGGCCTGTCTGCAGGGTGGGCCTCAGCCCCAAATTTGCCCTGTTCAGTTCGAGAGCTATAGGATTTCTACCATCAAATATCAATGATACAATTGAGCCTTTGGAGATCTTTTCATTCTTGATGTTTGGTTCAATAATTCTATTTGTTGCTCTTTTTTACAAATAACATCTGGGGTATTCATTTGATGATTTTCATTCAGGATATTGGCAAAGCCATTAGGAGCAAAATTTCAGTAAGAACTTACCCAGCTTTTAGTGTCGTTCCTATTATTCTCAGTACCTTCAGAGGGACCCGATCTTGTGGCCAGTCCTCTCACCCCTCCTGCTCTGCTCGCTCCTGGGAACACAGGCCATGTGCTCACACACATACAGCAAGAAAAACGTTTTCATGGAGCTTTTCATACTATTTCTTTGGTTTTGCCTATTGCTACAGCTATTTGTAAGGAGCGCATCTTTACCTTTATAGCCTGTCATGAAAAATATATTGAAAGATATTATCATTTTTAAAACCTCTTTTATGGCTTGACTTTTGAACATGCATGAAAGAACTTTGAATGCCAAACTTAAGGGAAATACCAGTCATAGAAACACTAATTACAAGTTGTAAAATATATTTAATTCATAAAATTTAAGGAGGTAAATCATAAAACTCATTAGATCCAGAACAACTGGACCAATGAGAACAAATTAAAACCAATAAGACTGTTTAAACAAAGTAAGAGGATTTTTTTTAACTACTTTACCAAAAGGCATCAAGACTTTAACCAGGAAAATTGTGCAAGAGCGTCCCCTAGTGTCCGTGACACAATTAGACAAGAGGCTGGAGCCGTGCTGGGCATCAATAACGTGGTTTGTCCATTTCCAAATCACTGCAGTAGATTTTCCTTTTCATCATACCTGTCTCTCATCTGTCCATTAACAGGTTGTTATAGGGAACCTACCAAGAGCCCAGGAGTGTGCTGGGCTGGATGCTGAAAGAAATACAAAAATAAACACACAGATTTGCCTTTGAGGAATGAGCAATATTTTACTTAGACTAGATGTGAATAACACCAAGAAAACATCAAAATCAAATCAGGAGCCAAACTTGAGGGATGTTTTCTCACTGTGACAGAAAGAACTGGGAAGGAGTACTTGGAGACCATTCAGAAAAGAAAGTGAGCTGGAGAGGATTAAGAGCCGGGGAGTACTTTTTTAGGGACGGCAGACTGTGGCCCACCACAACTGACCACAGAGAGGCGTCGTTTTGGTGACGCAGATTTAAGTTTTTAAAATTCTAATGATTTTCACTAGAGGTAGGTACTCTCCAGCTCACAGCAAAACTCACCTCATCCCACAGCCCTATTCACACATTTATTCTGTATGCCTGTCCCTATGTTTGTGTTCAGCTTTGTGATTCCTGATTTAGAGAAAACGAATTTAAGGGGAAGTGGGCTGGGACCCTAGAAGAGCTTGGCCACAAACACCAGGTTGGGATTAGCATTTCTGAAGGACACTGAGCATCCTTCTTGCGCATGGAGGGACCGGTGTATATCAGGCAGCGGTGAAGGGCGTGAGATTGGGGATAAAGTCCTCTAAGCTTCCCGGACAAGAGAATGCTCTTGTAAATGTGAAGTCTGGAAAACCAGCCCACCTGCAAAAACAGATGGTGTCAGGAAAGGCCGGGGAGAGGATGTGCACTAACAGGTAGAGAATATGTGACCGGCGTCGATTGAGTGTGCTCTCCTGGAGGGCCAAAGGGACACTGCTGCTGGGGGCCTGCTCTGGCCCACCAACTGCCCTTCAGGGCAGATCCAGAGTGGGAGAGGGGAGGTGCTGCTCTTTAATGGGCTTGCCCTAGACTTGCAGTACATCAATGCCGAGCTGCCCGCAGAGTCGCCCTACCTCTATGGCCTCCACCCCAATGCGGAGATCGGCTTCCTGACCCAGACCTCGGAAAAGCTCTTTCGCATGGTCCTGGAGCTGCAGCCCAGGGACAGCCAAGGCGGAGAGGGGGCAGGAGCCACAAGAGAAGAAAAGGTCAGCCCATGGGTCACGCGGGGGTGGGGGGTGGGGAGGAGGGGGCCCAGTACACAACACTGCGCTGCGCACTCCGTCCCCTCGCACACGGCTGGCCGGTCCAGCCTTGGCATGCGTGCCCCTCACCTCCAGGAGGCCCTCTCCCCGGTCATGTCACCAGGCTGGCCGTCTGGTTAAATCATGCGAAGTCCCTGCCCATGGGTTTGGCCATTTGCTTTGCTAGTCCACCCAAAGTCTGTGTCTATTCAGTTTTCCTGCCATAGTGAAGAAAGGGCAGGACTGAACACCGGTGGTTTGGGAACCTTGAAACTGACTTCACGATGGGGGCACAGCTGCTCCTAAACGCCTCCACCATCATCCCACCAACCGGATGCTCAGGCAGATGAACGCATTCTTCAGAATGAAAGTGCCTTCTCTCTGTGCGGAAGAGTTAATCTGACTTCCAACGCACAGGTAGGTGCTGGTGAGCATGGGGCTTCCGGAGGGTCAGGAAGGTAGTGGGAATGACGGAGCCGACCAGCGTGAGGTGCTAGCTGTGGGACAACCAGAGGCAGTCTGAGGGCTCTGCTCCTGATGGGTGCAGCCGAGGGCAGAGAAGGCCCAGGGCACCAAAGGGAAACTTTTCCTGGGGCATGCAAATCCAGCCCCCAAGAGATGGACGCCCCTCGCCCCACCTGCACTCCACAGGACAGCCTGGGTCCTTGTAATCTTTACTTGGAGATTCCATTGGCCTTACCAGGAAACATACTTGGAAATTTGGGGTTAGGAAACCAGGGTAGTTACCAGACTTTGAGGCACCAGGGATCGATTTTAGGAAAACAAACTGACTGATATTAAAGGGGCTGGACTTTTGCTTAAAGGTATGGAGTGGTGTCATAAAAAAGTAGTTCTTAAATTTTCAAATACCTCAGAATGAGCTAGGGAGCTTGAAATTCAGAATCTGACGTCTGGGGTTAGGTCCAGGAATTTGCTCCCTGGTGACTCTGATGCAGGTGAACATGCACATGAAAAAGCTGCTCTAAATCATGTCACTCAGCCTGTTTCACTGTTTGATGCATAAGATATCATTTGAGAACAAAAGGCAGAGAAGACATTTTATGTTGCTCAGAATCCAAACCACCTAGTGTGAAAAATGTTCCTAGCTCTAAAAATGAAAAAAGGCTGAGACTATATAAATAATAGATTTAGGATTCTTTAGGTGGGGTTCAAAGAAGCTTCTAGATCTTGTTATTTCCTTATCACCTTTGCCCAGCTCAGTAGAGTTGGACATGATGAGAGGATGACAAGGACATGATGGGAAATGACGTGTGTGTGTGAATGTGTATGTGGGAGGTGACATGTGTGGATGTGGGGGTGGATGTGGGTGGGTGTAGGTGTGAGTGTAGGTGTGTGTGGGTGTTTGGGGTTGTGAGGGTGCGTGTGGGTTTGTGGTGTGGGTGTGGGTATGGGTCTCGCAGAAACAAGTGAGCCGTGCTCACTGGCCGTAACTGTGGTGTGCGGGAAGCAGGTGTGCGAGTTAGTGTGTTTGTCAGTTGTGCAGTGTCCCAGTGCTCACCCGGGACAGTCAGTTTCTCTCAGCGCCTGCGTGTTCTCCCGAGCCGTGCTCCTTCACATGCACGGGACAGCCCCAGAGGACAGCACACAGCCAAAACCGAGGGAGTGTTTGTGTGTTGAGCTGGAAATGGGCCAGAGGCTGCACATATACACTCACAGACTACTGACCCAAATCCCTTGCATGTCCACATCTACAGGGAAGAAAATTCGGGAAATGGAGTGTATAGCTGGGCAGCCATGTGCCTAGGGAAGAGAGAAGAGTCAGGGGGCATGGAAGCTGGGCAGAGGACGCCAGCAGTCCAGCACAGTGTTCAACCCAAGCTTGCATTTTCTCTGGGACACCATGGCTCATTGGATGACCTGAGCTGCGAGTGCTGCATGGCCCCAGATGCCTCTGTTAGGCGGATGAATCTGCCATGAATCAGGGGGGTACCCGGCCATTTTTGTTTGCTAGGTTGCTGTAACAAAGTGCCACCGACAGGGTGCAACCAAATTATTCTCTCACTGTTCTACGAGCTAGAAATCGAAGACAAAGGCGCCAGCAGGGCTGGCTTCTTCTGGGGCCTCTCTCCCTGGCTCGGAGGTGGCTGTCTTCCCATGGGGTCGCAGTAGGCCTTTCCTCTGCACTCCTGTGCCCCTGGTCTCTGTGTGTCCAAATCTCCTCTTTCTGGAAGGATTCTAGTCTTACAGATTAGGTGCTGTCTTAACAGCCTCATTTTAACTTAATTACCTCTTTAAGTACTCCACATACAGTTACATTCTAAGGTACTGGGGGTTGGGACTTCAACATATGAATTTTAGAGGCTCACGACTGGCCTCTGGACACCACCCCTGCTGCTTCCGTGGTGAGGAGCTGTCTGCCCTCCATTTGCCCTGGACTACTGGATTTCTTTAGCATCGAACAGCTGGTGAGTCATAAGGAGAGAGGTGAAGCAGGGTCCCTGGCTCCCTACTCCTTGGAAGAATGCTTTTATTATCTTATGAAAGCCTTATAAAACCTTTAAAAAAAAGGCAACTCAGAATCTATAAAGGAAAAGACTGAAAAATTTGATGTCTTAAAAAATTTTTAATATTTGCAAAGCAAAAAATATCCTGAACAAAGTCAAACTTGGAGAACCTATCGGCAGCACAGATACCAGGAAGCGGACAGTTTTGCTAGTCTACAAAGAGCTCTTACATATGAAAAAAGAAGGAGAAAGAAGAGAGGAGGGGGAAGAAGCCCAGACATAAAAGAAATTCACATAATAATACAAATGGCCGATAAAAATAGCAATATGTTCTCAGAGTCACTCACAACTAAATGAAGTTGAGCGACATCTCATTTTTCACCTAACAGGGAAGGTTTTTAAATGTGATAATATCCAGTGGTTGAGGACAGAAGAAAACACGCATGTTCCTCCCTATTGGTAGAGGTTTTACTTAGAGGACAATTTGACAATAGCTCTGGCATTTAAAAAGTTCTTACTTTTTACTCATAATTCTATCTCTAGGAATTCAGCCAGTGGAAACACTCAGCAGTGCACAGATTTGATGATATATTTATATTTATCTAGTGCAGCATTGCTAGTAGCAGAAGTGATAAACACACCAAATATCCATCAATAGGGGAAAGATGCAATAAATTGCATATGCTGAAACAGTCACATACATACACATATATACTGTTAAACAAAAAAGGACATATGCATACATACTAACAAGGAATGTGTCCAAGAGTTATTGTATAGATTAAAAGAACACAGCTGAAAAAGCCATGTGAGGTATGCTTCCCTTAATGATGGGTGGAGAAAAGGGAAGGGAGGTGTGAGGGTGGGAAGAGGAAGGCAGGAAGAGGGCACCGCGGACGGGCATGGTGGTTAAGGACATGGACGGAGGGGGAACGGAAGGTGGTGGAGAGTTGTATGCACTGAAGGACAACTGCAGGAACTATAAGCCAAAAAAATGAACAGCTAACAGTGGCTTTTCTTTCCCCTTTAAAGGGAAGAGGCAAGATGGTGGGAAGATTTGCTCCCGATATCCTAAGTATCTGTAATGTTTAGATTTTTGCGGTAAGCATTTCTCACTTTCCCAAAAAGGAAAAAAGGCAGAGGCGCCCTGTGTGCAAATAAAGCAGACTGCATCCCTGGGGCCCGCTGCCCCCTGAGAAGGGGTAGAAGTGGGTCCTGTCTGCAGCTGTGGGTCTGCTCCCTTCGCTGATGGGGCCCTCACGAGCACGCCTGCTCCCCGAATGCTCCACAGCCCCATTGGCGACAGAACAGAGCTGCTACCCCACGTCCAGTGGATTTTGGAACAATGCCTCCACACTATCTTTTTATCTTTTTGTGAATAATGTCCAAATGGCAGCTCACTGATAGAGGGCTGTTTCTTCAAATTCAGCTCCAAAGACAGAAATATGATATAATGTTAGCCGTTTGTCTTCTACCCCAGCAGCAGCTTTCAGCTACCATTAAAATTCCATCCCAGTTTTTGCTATGACAGCACTGGAGACCCATTTGTGACAGGGTGATGAATTTTTACCTCCTTTTTTTCTAACATCAGCTCTTTTCCTAGAGAATGTATTGTGTGTTGACAATACAAGGAAGGGTGAATATTAATCATCCTGTACATTTATATAGTGCTTTATAGCTTTCAGATGCTGCCACGTCCATCAACTCAGTTGATTTGATCTTCACATCAGCCTTGGGAGTTGGGGGAGAAGGGGCAGGTAGAGAAAGACACTCTTAGAAATTTCTCTGCATGAGAAAATTGAGGCCTAAATGACTTGCCTTAAACTCACACAGGTAACGCATAACAGGACAGTTTTAATGTAGTCAGGGCTCTCTGGCTGCAAGCAGCAGAGACCAGTGTAGCTAAAATGGACAAGAAATAGCTTGCTATATCAAAGGAATCGATCTGAGAGAGGCTCGCCACCGCAGAGGCTCTAGGGGCCCCGGGGGAGCCCCGTCAGAGCACTTCCATCCTGCCAGGGGCTCCAGCCACGGCCCCGCCCTGAGTCCGAGGCTGGACACGCAGATGCTCCTGCTCCTGTGGAAGATACTCTGACCAGCCTGCTTGGGTCACGGGAGGGCTGAGCTCCATGACTGTACCCAAAACAGGGAAGAAGGGGTAATTTCACAAAAGGAGATGGGGAAGTTGCAGACAAAGGGGAGATGGAAGGCAAACAGGCAAAAATAACAGCGGGCCACCACAAGCCTGGAGCTCAGCTGGCACAACCAGGAAGGGCTGGCACTCTCCTTGGCCCATGCTCTCCCTCCCCTCCTCCCTCTCTGCTGGACACATGTGCTGTTATGTCTCCACTTGTTTCATTTTTCTTCCTCTGCTTACAGACCTCCTGGCCTTACTCATTCACTTCAAAATAGTAGGTGCAGCCTTCAGCTGCTCGCTCCAAGGAGCCCAGTGTCTCAGTTGCAATTTTCCAGGAGAGAGACCTTGGATGTTCTGGCTCCCCTGGTCTAATTAACTGGCAGCTTGTGTGGTAAAAGGAATCGTGGGGTGGAGAGGAGATCCACCTGATAGATGGGGGTGTCTCTTCCAGGACCCAGGGGCAGACACTGCAGTGCAGCCTCAGGGACTCAGAATGGGCGTGTGTGTAAATATATATACATCACTGCTGCTGTCCCATGGTCCCAGATGACCGCCCTTGGCTATCCTAGGCTTTTCTAGTTTGATTCCTATAGATAACTGGGTCAGTTTCTAGGTTTTTCCAATTTCCAATTCTTAGAAAGGCATTTGTGTTCATCTTTTTAAACTGGGCACACAAGCCGCAGGGAGCCGGCTAGCCTACAGAGAGGCCATCCCATGGTGGGTCCACACCTCTGGCCTAGCTGACCTGAGCAAGCGGGCACCAGTGTGACCCGGGGATGGATGATTGGCCTCTTTGGGACCACACCACAAGGGAATGGAGCCCTTCTGGAGAATTAGAGCCCCTTCTTAACCCTGTGTTTCCTGTTGCAGGGCAGGTCAAGGTCCTCCTGGAAGAAATACTGGAGTGGGTGACGGATGAGTTTAACATCCCAGAGCTGATGGCCAAACTGGAGGAGCGCACCCCGTACATAGTAGTTGCCTTCCAGGAGTGTGAGCAAATGAACATCCTCACCAGAGAGATCCAGCGCTCACTGAGGGAGCTGGACCTTGGCTTAAAGGTGGGTGAGGTCTTCAGGGGAGACGTTGCCAGAGGATGGATCTGGGCCCCCTGGGGAGAGAGGGGCACCGGGGAAGCAGGTGACTGAGAGCAGGTGTTCCACAGCAATCTGAATGCCCAAGGTGTTGCTCCCAGAAACCAGAAGTGGGCCCTGACCAGCTGGCCAGCACAGGCAAGCTGCCCCAGGACTCTACACTGCGAGCACCACGCAGGAGAGGTCCTCACAGCCTGGTGTCTTGTGCTGACATAGGTTATGTTGCTTTCGTGGGAGGCAAAAGTGGTGCTGGGTAAAAGTACAGGTTCTAAAACTGGACTGCCAGGGATCGGCTACGAGCTCTTCCGTTCCCCTGCTGTGTGGCCTTAAAGTGACTTTAATCTCTTGTGTCTTAGTTTCTTCACCTCCAAAACAGGGATAATGGTCCTATGCCATAGGGCTTTGGGAAGGATTCAGTAAATTGATGTACATAGAAGGTTTTGAACAATGCCCAGCACATTGCAAGTACCCCCAAAGTACTAGCTCATAATATTATATTTACTGTCCCCTCAGGGCAAAGGAAGGAATTTTAATCTTTACAACCTCAAGGTGGTCTCAGAGATCCAAGATACTGCACAAGCTGACATTTCTCTTGAGCCATGGAAGAGTCTTCTACTTCTACCACTAATTCCTTAAACAAGCTTATTTTGTGTACCATGAGATAATTATGTCAAATGCCTAGCACAGAGCTTACTAGGTAAGCACATTTACTACCATACACCTGAGTGATATATAAATGGGAGGACTTCTGGGTCACCTTTAGGAGCTGAGGGAGGTGACCATTGTCTGTTTACATTGGCACATTTATGAAAAGAATGATGACCCCGGACAGAAGGAAAGTGAGAAGCCAGTTTTGTGGCCAACAGTGAAAGCTCAGCTCAGCCCCAGAATTCAGGGTGAGATGCGCTGCCATCTACCATTGGCGCTTGGAGTTCCTCATCCACAGTCTTGTGTGCATGTGAAAAACAACTGAGATTCTGCACATGTAGTCACACAGACACTAGGAAATAGGCCTCAAATTCCAGGTTAGTGAGGATTTGCTTTTAGCTGTTCATTTCCCTTCTCCTTCCAATATAGATGAAGGGACATAAGGAGACGGGAGAGGCAGAAAGGAATGTTGGGGACTGACAGTGTTTGGGAATGGTTCCAAATGATGTACCAGCTTGTAATCAGAAGACTACAAAACTTCATAGAATAATCTCAAATGTAAATAAGGACTTTGCTGTCCCGCCGTGCAGCGCATTATGGTGGTACGCAGGTGTATATTAGCAATTATCTTGAGTAGGTTTGCTGCAATCTTAGCTTATTAAATCCATGCAATTTGGTGCAGTCTGTTTATCTATTCAACTTCCAATTCATCCACTGAAATTTCTTCCAAGAGCCTTCGCTGTGATGGAATCATGAATCACAGAGCGTGCTTGGGCAAAGATGAAGGGGGCAGGGAGGAAGTTTCTCTTTTCTTTCAGTCCAATTCAAGCCTTGCTGACGGATGGGCTCTTTGGGCAAGTCCATGCTGGAGGTGCCGGGGAGCCTGGCAGGGCAGCCTTCCACTCTAGAACAACAGGCTTGGAGAAATGAGTGCACAGATTGTAACACAGGCAGGATTCATGAAGGGCCACACGGAGAGATGTGGGAGAAGAAAGGAAGAAATGAGTGCATCAGGGAAGGCCCCGGAGAGGAGGCATCAAGGGCGCCCAGAGGCAGGGTAGGATTATGTACGACAGGTGGGGATGAGGAGAAGAGTCTTCCTGGCGGTCCGGGAGTTCACCTGCTGTCACCCAGATGAAGGGTCCGCTCAGGCAAGTGGCAGTGACACGGGGAACTTCAAACGGTGGGGGCAGCACGATGACCCAGAGACCCAGACGCAATCAGGGAACCTGTATATTGCCTTTGTCTCCTGGCCTCTCCGTGAAGTGGGGAACAGACGGCGCCATCTCCATTTTAAATTGCTGTCATGAAAACCCAGTCTCATAAGGACAGGTCCCTCCCACTCTGGCCTGGTAGTCAGACACCCTGGGGGATTTATCCAGCTCATATCCCCATCTCTGCCCTCTGGTCCTACCAACCCCTGCAGCCGGGGTGAAAACTATTTTTAACCAGCAGCCAGGCAAGTGTCGTGACGAACCAAGTCTGTGGAGCACAGCGTTAAGGCAAACAGGTGGAAGGAAAGGATGGACGGGTGTGTTCATGGAAAAATGAAATGGCAGCAGAGCTCAGGGAAGGGAGAGTGTTTAAGTCTAGGGAAGAGCTGGCAAGAAGCGAGAGCAGGAGAGGGACAGCAGAGGGAGTGGCTCGAACAGGATGCACAGGACCTCCCGGCCTGTGATGGGGAGGCGAGGCCCCCTGGGACCGGGCCCGCTGCACCGAGTGACAGCCACTCAGCCCCTAGCTTCTCCTGGCCGCGGGGGGCAGGCACGGTGGGCTCTGCGGGCCAGCTTCCCGGGCAGGAGCCGGTAGGGAATCCCCACGGAGGCTCTCTCCCCGTCCTTGCTTGCTTTCTCTCTAACAGCCACTTCAGAGTTCTAGGAGGATTATAGGCAAAGCACGGAGGGACGTGGGCAACTCATGCTACCCAGCACATCAACTGGGCAAAAACCCAAATGCTCTGCCAAGTTAGAAAACGTCCATCTTTTTAAATTATTAAGTCAACACTTAGGATTTATGATAAAGAAATGTTTATTATACTCATCCTTAACTGGCTGGGTGGGAAACCATAATGCTACCCAAAAAGTATTAGCTGAACCGAGAGGCGCAGTGTGCTGAGCTGCTGAAGACTGGGGAGCTCAAAGTGCACAGAACACGAAGTGGTAGGGGAAGGCAGGGTAGTCACCTAGGGAGGTCAGCTACCTACAACCGTGTCCCCACGGAGAGGAATTCCTTTGGGAATCACCACGCAGGCATCTGGTTCTCAGCCTTTCGCAGTGAAGAGCCAGGTCCACAGCTGAGTGGTCAAAGGTACTGACTCCTACTAACCAAACATACAAAAGCCTGATACAACTCCCAAAGGCCAATTTATTCCTTTATAATAACAACTAGGTGTAGCATTCAAAGGGCCATATAGTGATGGCACTCTGCCCCCAAAATTCCCTTCCTGTGTAGGAAAACTGCATGAGAAGCTAAATTCCCATATTTGCACTGTCTAATACAGTAGCCTCCAATGACAGGTAAGCATTTGAAATGTGCTTCATCCAAACTGAGGTGTGCTGCATGTAAGGAAACACCATGGCCAACCTAGAATCTGGGCAGGGCTGGGAACTATTTTTATTACAAACGTTTGATAGCATCAGACTTTTTTTCCTATGCTTTCAGTGGCTGTTTGACAAAATTCATTTCTAAATATATGAAAGATGTGTTCAGACATAAGCCTGGCTGACTGACTTACAGAACTACTCCAACTCTTTACCCTGATGCCTGTGCATTTATTTAGTGCAGGCCTGAGAGGTGTGCCTTTCCTTGACTCTTTAAGGACTCAAAATCATCACCCCCTCAGGCAGCTGCCCCAGCCCATAGGCATTTGGTCTGCCAGCCTATCAGAATGCCCAGATGGACAGGCTGCCATCACCCTCTGTCTGGAAGCCACAATGGGAGGGGTGGACCCATATAATTTCTACATCCCTCCCCATCTCACCTCCTGTGTTTCATATAAATGAAAGCTGATTGCAAAGACCACCTACAGGGAAGGAAGAGCAGCCAGGAGCTGACCCTCAGGACAGGATGCAGCCTGCAGCCCCTCAAGAAGGGAGTAGGTGGGAGTGGTTGGCCTCCTAGGGACTGGATGCTGGCTGCCTGCTGCCAAGCCAGAGCACCAGCTGCTTCAGACATGCCAGAGCCGCCCTTTCCAAAGGGATGTCCCTGGCCCTCCAGAAGTTGTAGCTATGAATCTGAGCTTTTAACAAGCACACTGACTGAAAAGAATGAAGGCCTGCAGGAAAAAATAAGGTTATTACTCTATATGACATCCGAGAAAGGTTATGGAAGCATTTTTATAGGGACGAATAAAGTGGTTAAGGTCACAGCCGTGTAGCCCTCATGTCCACGGTAAGGGATTGCCCAGCCGCCAGTTCTCCCTGATCTCCCTGCAGTGCTGACGGAGCAAGCCAGTCACAGGACCCTGAAATGCAGCATTTTTCTTAAAAGCATTCAGTGTTTTCTCTGTAAGTTTTCTTTTCTATGAACTCTTGATCTGTGAGCAAGTTGAAAGAAGAGAGGCGATGCGAACTCCACAGTCCAAGCAGGTTTATTGCCGAGCCTGAGAGGGAGCCCTCTGTCCTGGCCAGCAGAACAAAGGAAGAAGGGTCTCTAACAGGTCGAGAGGCCTTTTATGGCCAGGGCTTTGGCGGGCTCATAGAGGGGAGGGGTCAGGGGAAAGGTGGGCGGGTGGCCTGCTGACGTGTCTTCTGGAGGATTCTTGTAGCCTGGGGAAGATGACACCTAGGTCTCTCTGAGATGGTGGGTGGGCTTATTCAAACGGTGGTCCTCAGGTTCCGATTCTATCATAAGTAGGTGCAGATATGTACTGGGGTTACACAGGACCTAGGCAGGAGGTGTTAGAGAAACTCAGGCCTGAACAAATGTAAACGGGTCTCTCTATGGGTACAGCTTGAGCCTCTAAGCAGGGCCCACTCACCCTGGGTCTGGTCACTGAAGCTTCCTGTCTGCCCATCCCAGACCCAACAAGCGTGCCAACATCTTGGGGAACTAGTTTTTTTGTGAACACTTCTCAAAAAATGCTGTCCTTGAGTCTGTAGATGCATTTCCTCCTCTTCTCCTAAGAAAGGGATGCAAATTATACTTAGCGAATTTGGGGCCAGGTTCTCTCTGTTTCTTCTCAGCCCCTCCTCTGAAAATGAGTCATTGCTACCTCAGGTCAAGGTCATGGGAATATCTGAGTTCAGAAACCTAATTACAAGGTGAATCCTTTCCTCTTCTAAATTTTTCCTGCTTTATTCTCAAACTGGGAAAAACAA